TTTAACTAGTCTGAGTGCAAAGTGATTTTCATTTCAAAATTAAAAATACTTTTCATCATCTAAAAAATCTCAAATTTCCTTTGTGTAATCCCTAAAAACCTCCTAAATGCATTTCAAACGTTTTTTTCACTAAATCCTTTAACAACGCTTGAAGCTCATCTGAAAAGCCTGAACATGAAGGAAGTTTGCCACTTAGGTGGGAAGGCCTGGGCAGCCTGAGCAGTTAGCTTGTCGTGTGTAGAGAAATGCTGGGAGAAGGGTCTGGGGCTAGACTTTTCATCACGGTAATCCACCAAGGAAGATGATGATGATGAGACAGATTTGTACGGCTTCACAGAGGAAGATGTGCGTGAGACAAAGAAGCTGTCTGAATGGAGCAAAGAAGAGCTACACCAGTGGCACTCTGTTGACGACAAATGCCCAACATATGAGCACTTGACGGACGCCAAGATCATCCGTAACATAACTATAGCACCGACGGAGGCAAGTGTACCAGTTCTCGAGCCACAAGAAGAGGATAACAAAGAGCCTCCATCACCACCACCAAATGTGTCTGAAGCCAGTGAACACCTCGAGGCTAGCCTCTGTTGGCTGGAGACTCAGGAGGTGGACCACATAAAAATCCTCCAACTCAGAAGCCAGAGACATGTTACATTCAAGCAAGGAACACTAAATCAGTTTTTAAGAAATAAACTTCAAATGATGATTGCTAGTATTCTTGAATGTTTTTATTTGTTGTTTTGTTTATTAATTTGTTTTAATTTATACTGTAACAACAATGATTCATTTGCAAAATTCTTTAATTCAGAGGTAATTTACTTGCCAGAAGGGAACGTGTAAAAAACTAGTCAAAGAGGGCGAAAATAGAGGTGTTTTAGAATGTTAAGTCAACATTGGGTCAGTTTGAACAGTGATTTTTCTAGAACCCCGATTTAGGGCGAACCCCCCTTGTTTCGTGATGACATTTTATGGACCCCAACGATTGTGTTATAATGGGGTTACGCTGTACATATTTTGTATTATGCATTATAATTTAACCAAATTCTGTATAAATTATCATTTTTACTAAATGAGTTTTATGATGTCTCTGGGGCAATCCCATATTTTTAATTTATCACATTTTCTATTAATTATTTTAATATTTTTTGTTAGTTTTCTAACCATTTTCTGGACAGACTTTCCCTAGATTTTTAGGCATAAATGTTGATAGTAGACACATGAAAAAAATTAGCTAAAGGGTTATGACATATTTATCATTTTAATAATCCTCATCTGAAACTAGAGGTTTCTCAACAGTCACCTCTTTCCATGTTTTTTAAGAAACTATTTTAATCATAATTACAATTCATTTACATAGTTTAGTTCACCATAACAATCATTGTTCATGAAAACTGATGATATAATTATCATCCAAGACACTATTATTTCTGTCATATCTGAGCCAGCCAATCAGCTCTTGTATTGGGCAAAAGGCCTCATCAGCACTGGATATGGCAGATGTAGTGTAATTTACATAATATAAAATATTCTTCTTTGCTTTCATTCATAAGGTCTTAAAATTACTAATGTAGTTTTTTCCCATTGTTACTGTGGTTGCTTGACCCATTCCATGAACAAGAAGACTAGTTTTATGATTTGCCAATTCTCCAGAATGATATTAAAGTTAATTTTAGAAAATCAATGTCAAAATAAATAACATTGTGTTATTAAGCCTCACACTAAAAATCTGATTTATAAATAAACAAATTGACAATAATTACAATTCACTTAATTTAATTCATACCATAACAGTTGTTTTTCATAAAATAAGTAAGAACATACAACATTTAAAAATGCACAATAATTTACTTTATAAGTTAAAGTAAAATATACAGTTAAAAACTCTACATGTTTCAGTGGAAAAAGTTCCAACATCTTCAGGGGATCAGAAGAATCACTGAAAATTTTACTTTTTATTTTTATACCAGCAAGTGCACATGTATAATTTGCATATTATACAGTGCCATCTACAGAATAGAGATTTATGCCATTTTGACTGCATATTTCTAATTTGCATGGTCATAACACGCTCACTGTTGAGATGGGGGTGTTCCACAAGATTGCTTGTAGATTTTGTCTTTGTTAATATGCCCATACTTTACTGTACTCACCCATGGACTTCCTGGGTAAAGCAGAAAGGTATAGCTGCCCATCTCTACCATGCCTTCAATTGAATAAATCAGGTATGTTCTGCTTTTAAAAATAGGGTTTTTTTGGTCACCTGTTGCATTGTCTCCAATGATGTCATTCTTCCGGACTCTTCACCACATTTTCTCCCCCCCCCCCTTCTTCCAGTGGAGTATGGAAGTCTTTACCACTTGGGTGGTAGACCATGGAGGTATCATCCTGAATGTGATAATGATAGATGATACTTATAATGATAAAACCATTCAGTTGAGAGTAGGGCAGTGGTGGTCTGCTGATGTAGATGACAAGATGTCCTCCAATCTGATGCTCTATCTCTGTACAGGTTTATCCGAGGGGATGTGGTAGCTTTGGAGTGAGCCGTCAAAATTGCAATTTACCCCTTCGAATCGGAACCCTCATCCTTCCTCCACATGGATGCTGATTGCCAGTAGTTGGTTTTTGATTCAGAGATGAACCAATCAACATAAGTCTTCACATGTATATTATAGATGTCTCTTTTTCCTCAGTCAATTATACTCTTGTTCCTCCATCTATGTTGTGGGTCACAATGGTGGTACTTGCTGATTAACACTGTTCTTCCTCTTATGCCATCCCTTGATTTTATTATACTGAGGATGTTATTGCGCTATGGGCAGTTCCTGTTGAATTGATTTTGAGTGAGATACTTTACATTACATTACAGACACATCTTTACTATACCGATCATCCAGATGTCAGGTTCCTGAATCAGTCAAACAATTTATCACATTGCTATCATGTGTCTCTTTCATAGATCGGAGGGTACAAAATTCCCTTCAGTCTGCTAAACTTGAGGTGAGGAAAGTACGATCCTCTTTCCTACCCACACCAGATGGCTGGGTTTTGGATTGTAGTTGACTTGCTACTGGTATGATCCTCTTTCCTACCTGAACATGGATTGTAGTTGCCTGATCGATGATATGATCCTCATCTTTCTCCCGTGTAGACATCGGTTCCCGATGGCCTAGGTTTTGGATGCAGTTGGCTTGCTGTGTATGGTCTGTCATGCCCTAGCACCTCTACACCTAGGGACACATCCTTTTACTTTCACCCACATTCCAGTACTATGTGGGATTGAGATTTGTGATGTGGTGTTTGGATCCCTATCCCACCATTGTTCTCTCCTGTAGGGATATGCTTCTTCCTTTTCTCTTCCCATGTCTGTGATACCTCATCTACACTAGGCAAAGAGTAGACCTGGTACAGATGTGGTGTGATCTCCCACATATGATTCGCTATTGTGAGGATCTATTCTTTTAGGGTGTTCTTCAGACACTTTCAAGGAATGCTGCTTTGTTTTTCCCTCGCACCAGTCCCTCCATCTATTCAATGTGGGATTCTAACTATTTATGTGAAAAGAAGTACTGTACCATATCGGAAGTTATACGTTTCCTATACTGAAAATGTATTTCTGATAGGTACTTACCTCACCTCACCTCACACTTCCCACCCTTCCTACCACTGAAAGCCAGTGTTTCCAATTTCTACCAAAACTTGAAGTGATAGTTTGGTAGAATCAAATAAAGGGAGTCACATGCATCAGGAGAGTGAATCACACTCTTATTGGTGGAGGGTTGTCACACGATGATTGACATGTGAGACACATTTGAACCAGTTGATTGTAAAGATACGTAGGAGATCAAGACTTGTGGCATGCAAAAAAATTTGAGGGAGATAAATTACATTATGGAGACATTTTTAGAGTGCAGCACTGAATGAGAATAGCCATTTATGTGAGAGAAGGTAAGTACCTTTCGGAAATATATTTTCAGTATTGGAAAATTATAATGTTCATGAAAATTGATAATATAATTATCACATAGACTACTACTATGTCTGTCGTATCTCTGCCAGACTGGTGTTGGGCTAAAGGCTTTTTCAGCACTGGATATGGCAGGTATAGTGTGGTTGACATATTATAGAATATTCTTCTTTGCTGTCACTCACAAGTTCTTAGAATTGTAGACATGTGATTTTGTTATGTGATGAAGAGTATGATGTGTGCCACATTTGCATGATACATTTAGATTAGATTTTTCTATAATATCTTACCATAAAAGTTTGTCACACTGATCTTTTGCTTTTAAGTTTTTTCATTCACAGTACAGATGCCAAAAGTAGAAAACTAAAAATCCTTGCAAAATCTGAACTAACAAGATCCTTATAAAAGTTATTTCACAGTTGGTTTCATTGTAGTAGATATCTTTAATATTCCTTATGACCTGCACACAATGTGAAACAGCTGAAATCGTTTAAGCCAACCATCTTAACTGACAGAAGGAGAATCAAATTAAGATCTGCTACAGCATATCTACTGTTATTTGATAAAATATTAAAGGCATTTTTGTACATATTGGTTTTTTTTTTTTTTTACCTTCAAAATATATTAAATACCAATATGTAAAGAAGTTTAGGATGTGATGCTGAGTTGAAGTTTATCTTTTAAACTTCTAAAAGAAACATAATGATTGATTCAGTAAATGTAAACAAATTTTTTGTTACTCGTCTGAGAAATGATCATTTAATTCCAAATTGGTTACACTCAGATGCAAAAAAGAACATCTTAACATTCATAATGTTATGTGAACAAAATATTATTATTATTTCTTATTCCTATAAAGTTCTGTCTTTGTTGTGTCAAAAAATCTGTTATTACAAGTTATGTTTTTCTGCAAATATTGAGTGATTTAAGTTAAATTTACTCTCACCAGATTAACTAAACTCATTTCATCAGAAACTTTCATGTAATGATGGAAAATTGTTTAAATTAACTACTTAACTCATGTTTCTTTCAGACTCTAGGAAAGTTTTTACTTTCACCAGAACCAAGTCAAGTTGTCACAAGCTCTCATGCTCAAGACAAAAAGACTTACGCTATGTATGATGTGAAGAAGATTTTACAGAGTGCTGAACAGCTCAATATTGTAGCTTCTTACCAGAAAAGTCATGTATATTGGATCACCTCACCTCCCATACTATCTGCAACGAGATTTATTACAGGTAGAAAAAAGGAATTAAAGGGTTGAAGTAATTACTAAAATGTAAAGTTTTTTATAAGTAGATAAAGCATTTGAAGTCATTACAGATTTGATAAAACAGGTAAGAAACTATGTAGAACAATAACCATTTGTTTGAACAAGAAAGCAATCTTGTGGAAATTAATGATTAATTGGTATGCTTGAATAAGAAATATGTTATCTTTAACATTGTAGATAAAATTATTGTATGTTTATATTGTAGGTTATTGAACTGAAAGTATCTTTTATGTTTTTAGTTTTGGAATTAAAAGTATCTTTTTTTTTATATAAAACTTCTATGAATAAGAAATATGTTTCAATAAGAAAGTAATGATGTTGAAAAAACTGTACTTGGTATTCTAATAGAAATAATACATGATGTACCTTTTATGTTTTAGACCAAATTGTAGTATATGCAGGTAAAAATATATCATTTATACTTTAGTTTATCCCTATGGCCCCTGGCACCAATTTTAAATTCCTTTCTGCATTTAGTACTGTGTTACATTCAAAATTCAGTTAAACCACTTTACTACCAATATATGGAAATGAAGTTAGCATTATATTGTATGTTATGATTTGAATTCTTATGTCATCTAAGTTTTAGTTATTTTGTTTCAAAGGAAACCTTTCAAAAAATACTTAACCTGCAGTTTTTGCATCACGTGATCCATGAGCTTTGAAAAATCTCTACTTTAACACCATTTCCCTCTTACACACACAAGCTGGCATGTGCAGGCATTTCTACACACTAAGTACGTATGTTTGACCTAATTGTCATGTGAGAACTAAAGTCTGCAAGTTGAGTTGTCTGAGAAACAGATATAAATTTTTCCCACCCTTGACCTTTGCCATGCCCACTTTCTATACTTTGCCTTGAAATCTACAATGTACATGTGGTTACTTGACACAAGTGTATATAGTTCTTTGAAAGAGTTCAGTTTACACTATACTCTACCAAAGGTTAATTTGAAATTGGCATGCAGTTTTCCTTAGAGTGTACATGTAATTGCTTTTCGTATTGTTGTGTGCTTGATCAACTGTGGCACTTACCTAAATATCCTATATAAAGAGAGTTAAATTGTATTTAGGTCTGACTTTTATATTATAGACAATAATGTATTATGTTTGTTTGAAAAATCATATTTGAATAGTTTAATGATTTTTATAAGTTTAACTTCTCGCCTGGATTTTGAAAGGTTATAAACAAGATGGTATGTACAAGCACCATCTTGTTTCAACAACACGTCTATATACCTTCACAAAGCCCTGTGGGCATCAGTTTATGTATGGGCATAATTGATAATCGATGAAGACTTGAAAGTTAAAGATATACTGTAAATGAATAGATAAAGACTTGAAACTGTGCATATAAGAAAATATGTCTATTCTAGTAGATTTCTACAAAGAGTTGAAAGATATGTAAATATTTCAGTTTGTTAATTTTAAACATTTCATTGCACTGTATGTTGATGATAATAGACATAGTAGAGAAAATGGAAAATGAAGTATAAATATTTACCTTTAAAAAACTTTTGATATTCATTTATGAAGTTCTAGAGATTATACAAATGAAATGTGATAACTGTAAGATAAAAAAAAAATAGTATTTTTATACTTCATATAAAAATCATCTTGCAGGTGAACTATTTAAAGTGCAAATAACTACATTAATTAAAGAATTTTTTATTAGAAATAGTAGAAAAACTTAAAAGTAAATGTTTTATTTTTCTAAAACTACATGCTTTTAGGAACATTTCTGTCAAATTTTAAACAATTTCATCCACTAGTTTTCTTTTTGGAACAAAATATAACAAGAGCAATGTTACATCCTAAGAATTGTAGCATGCAGTTGCCATAGGGTTATGGAAGTAAAATCTTTATATAGTAGGTTTTTGTAGTAACGGTGTAATGTTTCAGGTTATAGAAGTAAAGGTACCTTTTATGTTTAAGATTATTTAGGTAAATATGTTTTGTACTTTAAATTATGAAAACAAATTTGAACAAAGAAAGGTGAAATAGAAAGCAACTGCCTAGTTCAGAATAACACTTGTAGAGAAAGTCTTGTAGGACTAATCAACAAAAGTAGCTCTTGTAGAAAGGACTACATTTTGAAAGATGAAAGGTTTTTAAAATGAATAATCTGCCCATGGGTCAAAGAAACCAGAAAAAAATCAGTGAATTTTATGTTTTCAGTCTGGACAAAATATGGAAAAAGTCAGAATTTTATCTGATTGAGTGGTTTTCTAGGATAGGGAAGGCAAAAAGTAAATTGTCATTAATGATAAAAAATCTTGCAATTTTAAAACATCAGTATGTGTATTTTATGCACAAAAGTGTTTTATATACATCAGTCCTTTTGTTTACCATTAATTGTCATAGAGTATGAAGGTAGCCTTAACATATATAAAAGCTAGGTTCCAACCTAAATGACTCATAAACATTACTTAAGGCTCTAGACAAAACTTGGTCTCATCTTCCTAAAGCTACATCACAGAGGATCATCTTAATAACTACAGACTAAAACTAAAAACTCTTAACAAATTATTATGGGTGCATCAATTAAGATTTTCATAGTTAATATCAATAGCTGATGTTTGCCCAATCATATTGGCTGATACTGAATTTATTATTAGTACAAGCAAGGTACTTTAAACTACTGAAACAAATTAAAATTTAACCTATAAGTGCCTTTTTTTGCAGTTGCATTTATAACAAAGACTCACAAATTGTACTTACTTAGTGCATTTAGTTCAGAAAATGAATAAAAATAATAACAATCATAAAGTTTATAAAGTACTGTAGCTGTGTCTTTCATTAATGTGTAGTAGAAACTTTATGCATGTAAACATAGATTTTAACTTCACCACAAGAAGTCAGCATAAAACTATTTAAATGCTCAAATGATCAATGTTGTATAATGCACAATTAAATTTTTTAAATTTAAAATACTGATCAATAGTTATAAAAAACACTACGTGTCGTCCTCAGGAGTGTGAAAACAAATGCAGTGCAAAATATAAATACAAAAGCCATGATCATGTGACTACTAGTTTACATTTTTTAAAAAAATCATGCCATGTACTTACTTTCTGATTTTCTAACCCTTTATCCTTATTTAAGATTAAATTATTTTTACTGGATTTCATTATTTCCAGGGTTTCTCTTATATTTCCAGCTGCCATATTATTCGATTGAGCCAGAATAACAGTTTTTTTTCTTACTGGATAACATGACCAGTAGAATTATCGTGTTCAGCTAGTGCAGAGTTTTCACTTTTGTTATTAACATTTCTCTTATGTTCATTTACTCTAAATTTTAAATTTATTCTAGTTTGACCAATGTATACACTACCACATTTACATTTAATCTTATAAATACCTGTTTTCTCCATTAAATTGATTTCATCTTTAGTGTTATTTAATATTTGACTAATTTTAGTCAGTGTTCTATAAATGAGAATGAGATTTTTGTTCTGTTTTTTGAATTTATGGAAAATCTGACCTGACAAACCTGGGACTTTTGGTGAAAACAACATTTCTTGTTTATCTATTTTATCAAATGTCAGTTTCAGTTTACTTTTTTGATCATCATTCATTATTTTGTCAAATTTTCTCACAGCTGTATGAACAATATGAGGCAAAGAAACCTCTATCTAATGAGTTATTTATGAATCCTTGTAGAAACAGTTAAACTTGTACCATTAAGTAACTGAATACATCCTGTTTATTAAATAATCTGTAATGTATCAAATATCTGAGTAATATATTAGGAAAATTTACTGTTTGTCATGCAACAAACAAGATGCTAGGACAGGAAAGAATAAAGATTGGCAGTAGAGATGAGCATGCACAGCTGGACAAAATTTGATCAATAGTTTTGTTGTCAAGTTATGGGGTTTCAAACCATAGTATGTATGCTATTGAGGTCAAGTTATTAATTATTATATGTGTAGGCTAGTACAGTCAAGTATGAGTGTTGTATTTTTTATTGTGTCTAAATCCAAGGACTATACCAAAATAAAAATAATGTGAGTACTTTTAGTAATAGATTTACTTAGTAGCAGTCTTTATTTAATATTATAAGTAACATTATGTAAGAACAAAATATAAAACTTAACCCTTTAGTCATTCGAGTGGTGTAATACTATTTTGCAATATCACTGTCAGTGATGAACCTGTTTGCAAACAGTAACAATCGTGTCTGTGCCAGTTACAATAGTCTATAAGGACAATTGTACATTGTAATAGTGTAGAAATAATGTAGTTATAAACATTGTGGTTATTTTGCCAGTAATTCTGGTTCTGTGCATAGAATTTCTTGTTTGTATAATTAGAATTTACAACATAGTTATTTGTAAATATAAGTAAACAAAGTGGGATCTATCCATAAATATATGGTGATATTAATTTAAAAAATTCAATACTTTTGATATAAATGAATTTGATGAACATAGTTTCAAAGCACATGCAAAAATATTACATTATGCTTTGGATCATAGGATGATTTAATTAACATGTGCAATTTTTTTATAGATATCAGAAGTATGAATTGACTGCATTGTATCATAGGTGTCAAAGCTGGAAGAGGCTAATGCCCCCACAGATGTCAAAATAGATGAGAAGAGGTGTCTTTCCACCCCTTCAGTTTCAGGACCAAATCACAGAAACTATTCATTAAAATATATAATTACATGCATGGAAAACTGTGATAAAAGGATTTTATACAATGCCCTCTCAACAGAACACCCCCCCCCCCCCCAGCCTGAAATTTCTTCTAACGCCTATGTGTATGGTTACCAAATGAAAGTTTTGTGCATCTATGCACATAAGAAAATATTGCTTTAATAAATATTTGACAATGAGAAGTGCATTTGTTAAAGAATATTCCACTTTACAACAGTGAACATCAACATGATCCTTCCATGTATTAACAGTTGAATTTTAATAGTCACAGTTGTTAAAATTCATAGTGTTATGTGTGTTGTGATAATGTTTTTGTGACTTAAATTTAAATTAAAAAGTGTATTCAGTATATACTAACATAAAAGAATGGATAAACTACATTTGTTATGTATGTTCTGATAAAGTATGAATAATTCAAGAACAGTGTGACCAATTACATTGAAACTTTGCAAGATAACATTTCAGCAAACTGTGGCTCTTAACATACAGCCTATTTTGTCTTTATGAAAAGTAGGTGAATAATGTTTTGCACTTTCACATTTTATTATAGGTAATATACATTACAAGCATTTGTCAAATGTTCAGGGAATAACATATTTTGGTCAGAGAAAATTTGGAGAATTTCAGTCTACCCATGATATGGGAACAATGTCTACCTAAGTCTTATGTTTTAAGTTACATAATTAAATATATATTTTATTTTTTAGGTTATGGAATGGAACAAGGAGGAATTAAAACTCAACTCTACAACAATCATCCTTCAAAATCTATGAAGATTGTTTATCTAGAAATTATCCCCTGGTTTCTTCGGGTTTATCTTCATACCTTACAATTGAAAACCTCAGGAAAAGCATTAAAGCCACGTGGGTCTTATTTTTATCTATTATGTAATGCACTTCTGTTCTATTCACTGAAGATTGCAAATTTTTTGAAGTAGCTAGGTCATTAAAAAAAATCACTGTGACAAACACATAGAATGTAATACATGCTTCTAGTTTCCATAACATGCAAGTTCACATGGGAGAGGAACCTGTCAAGCACATGTTTTCTATGATAACTAGTGTAACTACTAATGTTAAAGCCAGAACATATGGAATCCTTGTATACGTATCACTACTACCGATGTTTATTACATAACTAGTGTATAACCCTTCAAAAATGATGGGGTATGTACTACCATCCCCATCTCATAGTATACCCTAACCTCACATTTCATAGCTAACTGAAATAAATTTTGCAAAGTCAAGTTTGACCAACAAAGAGGCAGAAAAGTGCAGTCGAGGTAGTCAAACATTGGTAAATTCCTTTGTGAGCCAATCAAAATTAAGATCATTCATGGTGTATTCATAGAATAATTATTGGTAAAAATCAGTCAGATTAACAACATCTAATATATAAAAAAGTCAGTGCATTTTGGTAACCCAATGTTCCAACAATGGCCTTTTTGTCATGTTGCTTAGCAATAAAAGTATAACCTATTATTGTTCTTAGTCTATGTACTGAAAGTATAAAATGAAATGTATAGACAACAAAACTGGGAAAATATTTGTTGCTTTCTTAATTTAGAGTCTCCTGTTGATTAAGGAGGTTTGTTTTTTATTTAAAATGTTGGTGATATAACAGAAAATAGTTTAATTCAGAAATTATTTATGTTTAAAATTTAATTTATATTTTTCATTTCATGATATATATTTTATGCACTTTGCTAGGTTAGATGATCCTACACTACTTATTTACTTTAGGCTTATTATACCAACATCCACTGCACTTATTAGGTTTCACAGCACCTCACACTTCATGGTCCCGTTGCACCCCTGTCACTAAAATCATAATGGGCAGACAGCAATCGAACTATTCTATCTGAATAAATGCATTTTGGCTTTTATGACTCCTCCTATTTCAAGAAATCAAATGTGATGTGACACACTGGCTTTTATATAGGTTAGATTTGGTGTAACAAGTATAAGAAAATATTTTTTTTAATTAACTGACATGAAATATTTTAAAGTAGATAGAGATATGCTCTGTGTGTGCAACACATAAATTTAACAATCCACACACCATAATACTTTTGAAAGATCTGTAATTTATGTGGTGTTTGGTAGTTTTGTTGTTATATGAAAGTAATCTTACAAATCAAATTCTTAATATTATTTGCAGCTTTGTTGCATTTCTTGTTTTTTGATAGATGCTGATAAGTATTTCTCTTAAAAATATCATCAACACAGAGGTTGTGCATTTCCAACCTGGGAGGGATCGAACTCATCCGTATCATTTTGAAATTATTGCCACACTTCCACCAGCTTCTGTAACAGAATTATCATTCCAATTTGATCGAGCTTTTTTGAAGTGGACCGAATACCCACCAGATGCCAACCATGGCTTCTATATCAGCTCTGCTGTAATTAGCACATTGTTAAACTCTGCAAAAAATTGTTCCAGGATACCTTTACATAAATCTACAATTTTGGAAAGGTATATTAAATTGTAAATCTATCTTTTATCTAAGAAATGTGCTGTATTGTAAAAATATTTCCAGTTTCATATAATCACAGACAGATGAGTGTGTTGTATTACATATATATATTTCTTTCTTAAATGTAACCATTGTTTAATAGATCTGGTGTATTAAATATGTATTATTCTCAAATAATCTGATTTATGTACAAGCATAAATAGGTCTGCTTAATTACCAGATGATCAAGCAGGAAATTTGCAGAATAATCTGAATTTGACTTAGACTGGATTTTAAGCTGTGTGAGAAATAAGTAGACTGGACATGTGATTTAACGTAAGAACAATATTTCTGGCACAACAAAACTGTGTGTGTGTGCTTGCATAGGTACAGGAATGATTAGCTCTACTGGATCAATGAATGAATGAGCAGCTTTCTTTCAAGACAAATTTCTATTGAACTGGTCACATTGAAAACTAAATTGAACTGAATGTAGAACTAAACTTCATTCTAACAGACAACCTTTGTCCTGGTCAATTGCAATAAGTTTCACCATAAGACTCTCACAACATTCACGAGCTGACTTCTGGGCCAAGTGTTTATACCAAACTGCATCAAACATACTAAATGGAAAAAATTTTAAATTCCTACATTAATAAAGATAGTGGAGAACATGATATATCCACATAACACAAATATGTACCTTTAGTTTTAAATGTAAACACATTCAGATAAACCTAGTCTATCAAATATGTCTTCATAATGGCTGGAGATGGCTTGAATGGGTAATGAAGAAAAACTTTAATGTAAGTTTAACATAACAACATTTTGACAAGGTTTTATCATCATCAGGTACATGTCTTCAGTTTAAAAATGTAATCATTGTTTGACAAATCTATTGTATTAAGTTTGTATCTTCAGTTTTCAATGTAACTTCCAATAAACATGTATTAAAATTATCTCTAGCCTTATACATAACCACTGATAGGCAAGTTTAGTGTATTAGAAAGGTATATCTAATTTAGGATACAACAATTTATTTGTAAATCAAAATTGGAAAGTTTCTTTATATGTAACATTTTCATTTTACACATGCACTGTTGTCTTTCTACAAAATGAATTGTTTTAATCAGATCATAAAGTTATTTTAGTGTACAAAATTGGCTGTAAGTGTTTTTAAGTTCTACTGATGTTATTTTTAAGAATCGTTATGTTATTTGTAGTCTCTTGATTCACAGTAATGTAGGAAGTAGAAATATAAAGTACTGGTTTTTGGTTGTTTTTATGTTTTACCTTAATGTTATATCATGTTTTGTCTTACAGTCTAATCGACAGATCTGTAACTTACTTCATTAGACTACACACAGAAATGCTTCTAGTGTCTCTGCCAACACCAGATTTTAGCATGCCGTACAACGTGATTTGTCTGGCCTGTACAGTAGTTGCTTTAGCTTTTGGCCCTATTCATAATATTACCACAAAAAGGTCAGTGTTTTTATACAAAGTGACTTAAAGAATACCAAAATTGATTTTTTTATTAAAAAATTTTTGTTCTTTTTCAAGTTCCAGGTAATATTGGTGTACTCATAACTTTATAGCATTTTCACTCACATTAGTTCTACTACAATAAACATATAAAAAATGAAAAAGTGTATTTCAGATATTTATCAACTTCTTTCTGAGTTTTATTAAGATGTTATCCTGGCAACTTCTGTGTTTGTATGTTTTATCTCTTCTCTCTACCTTCATTATTTTTCAGTAGGTTTGCTCTCACTTCTGTCATTTTAAAAGTTGATAACTTTACCACACCATAAGCTTTCCAAGTTTTCATCTATTGTTTTTGATCCTTTCACTATTTATATGTGTGTGTATGCTTCTGATATGGTCTTACCTCCTCCTCACACAAAGCTATCTCAATCTTCTTCTACCCTCTTAAGCATTGCTAAATACATTTTGCAGTCAGTGTGCCAGCCATTATACCCCATCAATTTCGCACCATTCCTGAACATATACATATTGTGTGACTACTCTCCACTAATAGTATTGTGCCACCTATATTGGCACACCTAGCTCTCTCTGCTGTTTTCACTCAATCCTCCCTTTCTGGATTGGCACAGCATTGTTTAGACATGTGTTTTTTTGCATGTGGCTACCACTTATGAACATTCTTCTTTGCCATGTTAGCTCGTTTGTCCTCTTCAACTCTGGCATTACATGCATGTTTTCTCTGTTGTTGTGGTCTTCAGAGTCGGGATCCTGTCTTGCACCTTATCTCCGGGATTTATTTATGGCTTCATTTTTATGGCATTTCATCTTTGCTATGGTCACGGAGTCTTTGGAATATTTGGTGGAATCAGTCCAACAACAGTATACCCTTTCCCATCTGGTAGCCCGTTTGTCTCGGTTGGAGCCAAGTGTGGCACCAATTCCAGTTTCCCATCCTTCCCCTTCCCAAACCTTATCTGTCCCTCCTTCTTGAGGTGCCAAATCTTGTCATTTTTCTCGATGACGCACGATAAGTTGCCAACAGTTCCGTTGACAACCCAGTGAGAGCTCAACTTGCAGCCTTTCTTCATCAATAGCACCCTTTCATCAATGATGTATGGGTTCTTTGAGTTTTATCAAAAGGATTCAATATCTTATTTCTTGCCACACCTTCCTTGTACCCATTTCCTTCCTTTCCCCTCAGGATCCAATTGTTTGTCAGCGTCTATCAGAGGTGGTGCAGGACCTCCTTGCTCAACAGGCTATCGAACCTGTTACCCATCATTTACCGAGATATAACTCCCGTTTCTTTGTTGTTCCCAAGAAAACTGGGGACTGGAGGCCTGTCATCAATCTGTCCACCTCAATCTCTTCATTCACCTCACCCATTTCACCATGGAGTCCTACTTCACCCTCTGGTGAGCATTTTCTCCCGTTTTATGGATAACCAAGATGGACATCACCAATGCTTACCTGCATATTCCTGTCTCAGCAAGGTCTCGTCCATATCTTCGGTTTGTCCATCACTTCCTTTCATTTATGTTTTTATTTTCAGAGACCCTAGTTTTTCTGCTGATAATGGGATCCCACTCTATGGAGAGTGTTGCTTGGTCCGGTATGTTTTACCTCAAACTTGCACTATTTACTGATTACACCATAATGCTCACTGTAGAGATGGTGTGTTCTGCAAGACTACTCGTGACTTACCCAGTGGTATATATACATACACAGGAGTCCTGACCAGTTGCTGAGGTGGTGGACCATGGAAGCTTCCTCCTGAGTGAGTTTAGACATTTATTTTACCATACATACTCTTGATTATTTACTCAGTGAGAAGAAGGAAAAGCTGGTTTCCCTCCTTCCATTTCCCCTGGATGATTTTTCCCAGGTGTACAGCTGTCAAAAGAAATATAAACAAATAGGTTGTGGCAGGTCCAGCCTATGTGGGACCCTCCTCATTATACTAGGTTCAGGATGACACCATTCTTTTCCTATGGTTGTGTGCAGTAAAGTCTCCTCTTACTGTTAATTCTGGTTTCAGGAGTTTCTTTCCTTGCTCCTACAGTTGAGGAACTTAGTCTGCCTCATAATGCCAGCTACAGGACATACATACATTGTTCCTATGGTTGAGTAAATCTTTCATGTCCTCCTCATAATTTTGGATGCAGGATGACCCTGCATTTATGGTTGAGTGATTTATGATTTCTGCTCATAGTATCGGTTACAGATTTTACGGTTGAGTTGAGGCAACACCATGACCCTATAATGCTAGGTTCAGTTTGTTGTACTTCTTGCTCCTATGGTGGTTTTGGGAGTTTGTCCAGTTCTGGTCAAAAGCTATCTTCCTCTTATATAATTCTGGTTGCTTGATGTATGACACTCTGTTTACTTATGGTTGGGGTTGATGAATATGTATAACATGGTCCACATGCCCTAACCACTATATTTATGTTACAGTATATCTCAACCTCCTTTTGCCGAGGATGAGTTATAGAACCTTGTCTGTCTGTTTGAGGTTGTGTATGTAAATAGCTAATTTTATTTACATTTTACTATGGACTGAACCTCTCCGAACATATTGCTTTTGTGCACATCTTTTTCTTTCTGCCCATATCAGATTCATTTCCTACTTCAAGGGAGAAGAGCATACCCGTTCCAGAAATAGTATGGTACCTCACAAGTATGCATTGTTTTCATCTCAGAGCACACCCATTCATTCTGGGTGGTCGCTTTCTACTTGGTTTCTATGTTGTGCACCTACACTGGCCTGTCTACCTTTACAGTGTGGGATTCTAGCTATGTGTAAGACGAGGTAAGACTGTAGCGTAGTAGAAGTTAACATTGTTCTTACACTGAAAATGTATTTCCTCTCACAAACTTCCCACCCTTCCTTCCCACAACTGGTCTTCTTCTTTGGAGACTGCTAATTCTCGAAAGTGAGGAATGAGTGGGAATAGCAGAGGGGCTAGCTGCGCCAATATAAGTAATATAGGTGGTACAATACTATTGGTGGAGAGTAGTCACATGATATGTACATGTTCAGAAATAGCACAAAATTTATGAGGAATAAAGATTTGTGCACTGATCATGAAAATTTCTTAGCAATGCTTAAAAGGCAGAAGAAGATTGAGATAGCTTTGTGTTAGAGGAAGTAAGTACCTATTGGAAATACATTTAGTGTAAGAAAAATGTTAACTTTGAGTCTATCATGATCTCAATGATTTCTTCTGCTTACCTGCCTTTGCTCTTTTTTTGTTTTGTTTTTGACAGGAATCTTTTATGTCGATTTTAAGTGGGTTTAAGTCTTCTCTGCATCCTCTTTTTACCTGTGCCTACTTCACTTCATTAGTTCTTGGTGAAATGTTTCAAACTTTTCAAGTATGCCTTTCTCCTAATTGGTACCTTTGAGTGATTCCTAGTACTTGTTCAGCCTTTTGCCTTCTTGGTTATTTTGTTTTTCACTTTAATTATTTTTTACGTATTACAACATGTCACTATTTATTGTTGCCATTTTACTATTTCTTACTGCTTCTCCCAAAAACATCTTTATCCTGTATCCTGCCCATTCAATGCATTGTTATTTGGCATGTGGGAAATCTTCATAACTTGATCTTTTCACCATTAAAATATTTTTTTAGATTTTACTGTAAATAACTTAGTGACACAACTTATTCATAGGCTTTACCCCAATTGTGTGGTGCTTTTCATAGAGAACCTCTGTAACATCCATTCAAGTTTAATTCCTTGTTGCTTTTATTTTATAAATTCATATATACATATAAGGTATATTTTAATTTTCAAATTGAAAACCTTTAACAGCACTTCCCATTCTGCAACAGTGATGTTTATCCCAGAAAGACGTATGAAACCACAAGGTAGTATTTTGGGACGTTTGCCATCATGCCCCCAACATGACTAACATTTTCCTCAGCCATCCACTTGTTCCTTTTAATATTTTCAAAACTTTTAATAAAAATAAACCTACAGAAAAAGTAACATCATAACATTCACACCAGTGGAAAGAAAGAAGTTAATTCAACCAAGTCTTTAGACAGTACTTAATTTGTTTAACCCTATGAATACAAGAGGGTCAGAATGCAAGTCATAACATTTTTACAGTTACTTTCAAAATTTAATCAAACTACTCTATTATCAATGTATTTTAATAAACATGGCATCAAGCCATAGCCTATACAGTTCACACTTTTATATTATCTACATTTTAATTTCTTAAATGCAAAAGGAAATATTCAAATTGATTGCAAGTGTGTACCTCTGAGTCACATGATGCAGGGATGCTCGTACTTCTCATTTATAGATTTTTTCTCTTTGCTTATAATTGCTTCAGATGATTTAGTTAATTAGAAACACATTCTATGAATGTTGAACAGCCAGAATATAAAAGTTCAACCTATTTTTGCTTGACTGAAATATCACTATATTTGTTCAACCCACACTGATATGCCCCTCCCATATCATAAATCTTTCAAGAAATGTCTACAGTTCTCTACAATAGGACATATTTACAACCAATAGAAAGAGCAATTTCTAAGCTACATAAAACAGACAATTATCTGTTTTATTTTAGTAGAGAAAGCCAGTAATTCCCAGTGAAAATGTGATATGTTTAGACTAAAGACTGCACAATTAATAATGGAATTTTTTAAGCTTATTTATAGGCTAGTTAGGGAGCCAGATAAATTATATAGGTTTTTGTGACATTATTTTTTAGTGTCTGATATACTTTTAGTTTTTTAAAAAGCATATCTAAGAACTATATGAATTATTTTTTAGACAGCCAAATTGTAAGGAAAAAATAGGCTTAGTAAACCATGCAAAATGCCTCATATCTAAAGTAAGTGCTAAAGTTTTGGTTTTATATACATTTTAAGTTACTTTTATATATTTTTAACTGAAATAATTACATGTAAAAGTTAGAAACTTATTAGTTTAAACAACAAAAAACTTAAATAAATATTTCAACTCAAGGAGCACACACACAAGCTGCTATAACTTGATATTTTGTTTACCCTAACTTTCCCAAGTGTTTTATTACTTTGTTATGCTACTTAGACAATAAAATTAAACAAAAGTAAGTGTGAAACTATTAGGAGGCTGAGACTGTTTAGGATAAATAATGCTGTCTGTTACTATCTGCAGTCATCCTAGAAAACTAGAAAAAAAATTATTTTTGATTTTATTTCAAAATTTTCAACTTTTGTTACAAATGATTTTGGTACAGTTAGTAGAAAGAGAAAGTTTAAAAGTTTTTGGCAAAACTTTTGGAACTCAATTAGGAGGTTCTAGAGGTTATGAAAACTGTAAAGTGAAAAAAAGTGTTTTTATTCTTAGCATGAAAATCATCTTTCATTCAGACTGACTTAGTAAAGCCTTCATAAATTTACAAACAAATTATTAGAAAAAGTTATTTATTACAATATCTGATTTCTTAGTTTATAATGTAACATTACATTACAAGCTTACCCAAATTTCATAAAGATGCACTTAATACATTCTGAGTTAAGTATGTATAGTTTTATAGTTACATGATGGTTACAAGGTTAGTCAAACTGACTATGGATGTATGCATAGGTTAATAAGTATGTCAAATTACAAGATGCATTCACAAAATTTCCATATTACATGAACTTCAATATTTGTAAGAACATATGAGTTAAGGTAATGAAGAATATATAACAATATATAAATAACCACTGTCTTCTGTATTCAGTGTCAGGAGACCTTTTGCCTGATACTAGGGCTTATCAGGCTGACTGTGATATGACAGACACCATAGTGTTTAAGACACTATTTATATTATTAAACTGCATGGGCAACAAATGCTACATTGTGACCTACATTAAGTTGGTGAAATGCAAATAAGTAATGGTAGAGATAATGTTCACCTTTATAAAACATGAATTTGTATAGATGCTAGTAAACTCCATACAGTCATAAAAGTCAGTTTAATGTTCTGGCTGCTGATCGATAAACAGAAAGATTTTTGTTTAATAGGTGCACAAAAACAGTATTTTGGATCTGTCTTTTTCTCTCCTACAGATGTAGGAAAGATTGAGCTTTCTAGTTCTGGTATTGAATGAAAGGCCTCCTGAGTAGTGACCTTTTTTTTAGGTAAAATATAGATCTAATATGTCTGTTTTACACACACACCTGCTTTAATGGTCCATGGTTTGTATCCCTTTGCCACAGAAATCATGCTATGCATTATAAGGGTGGCACTCAAGTTCTAATATTTGGTTAGAGTAGACCAAGAGTTATTGGTGGTTGCTGTTGGCTAGCTGCCTTCCATCTGTGTGAGAAAAAAAAAGAAATACTGCATTTTAACATAGTTTTTATACAAATATTAAGCACATTGGTTTTCACTACTTTGGTAATTTTTTTCATTCAAAATCATAGCTTTACAACAACTGTATTCCTCTTTGAATTTCATTATTTTATTTCTTAAATCTGGTTAAAAGATTTCTTTGTTGTGTGTTAAGTTGCAAAAAATAAAAATACGTTATGCATTTTGATTACTATGTTCTTGTAACTTCTTCCAGTATGTTGAACTTGGGTCCACACCAGTGGTTCTCAAACTTTATACAATCTGAGCACACTTACAATACTACAAATACTTGCTGACGCACTGTATACAAAATAGGACTGATATGTTATAATTAAGTTAAATATATAGAAAAATAACGCATTTAATAAAAGCAAACTTAACATACCTCTATGAAGTTTATTCATTCCTGTGTTAATGAGAAACACGAGGTTGATGAGACCTTGCGATTTCTTCAATGTTTGGTCTTATGTTTGAGAGACAAACTCTCATTTCCTCATCAATGCATTGAAGAGTTCCTCTCTTTTTACGCTTAATTGTGGCGAGGGTTGAAAATCCCAGTTCACATAAATATGAGGTGGAAAATTGCAATAAAATGGCCAGCGCTGTTTTAGATATCGACACATGTTCTTCTTTGATAGAAAACCAAAAAAGCTTCAAGAGACAATTCTTTGTATTTAATCATCAATCCACGATCAGTGGACACAGCTACCAGTTCTTCTTTTTCTGTTAGCGTTAAACTAGAATCTATTGCAGTTTCTACAAAAGGGTTTCTAATCCAGTCATATTGCGCAGTGTTAATTGATGGAAAATAATAACTCAAATTTTCTTCTAAAGTTGATAAATGTTCAACTGTCATTGGCAGAATTTCAGTTTTACAATTATTACCTACCAATGGAAA